AAGGAATGTAGGAGGCCTCAAAAGTTGGAAAAGCTATACCCCCTACCCCACGCAAATAATTTTTCCCTAGAACCTCCAGAAAGGAATGCAGCCCTGCTTATTTTAGTCCAGTGAGACCCTGTCAGATTTTTAACTTAAAGAACTGGAAGATAATTACACAGTGTAGTGTTTTTTTTTAGGCCATCAAGTTTATGGTAATTTGTTACAGGGCGATGGAAAACGAATGCTGGCATCATCAAATATATAAACGGTATTTAAATCCATAAGAGTAAGATGATTAGAGACAGAAACAGAGGAGGTCTTGGAACTAAGCTTTGACAAATTTGAACATTAAAGTTGAGAAAAGTCCAACAGAGATGACTGAGGGCGTGAGTGAGCAGAAGAAAGCAGTGTTCCAGAAGCCAAAGGAAGAATCTGTGTCACATGCTGCCAAAGGGTTGAGTAAGCTGAAGACACAATTAGGAAAAAGACAGACAGACTAGGAGGAGCATGGGTGCCAGCTAATACACACAAGGGAGAGAGAGTGGACCCTGGTCCTCACTGCTCAAGACACATAAATGGGAAAGACTCAGAAATGATACCCACCCAGAGTAATGAGTTTTCCGTACACAGGGACTCAAATCACTAACAAACCTGGTCCATCTAGTTCTGGAATGTTTCCAATCAGATAAGCACTCATAACATTGGGGGAGGGAAGGGTGACAGTCCACAGGCAGAGCAGGAGGGAGGAATGGAATAGTCTCGCCTTTCTCGTACAGACCTACACTGTTGTCTTTCCTTTCACCAGATAATGCAGCCTTAGCCCTCCAAGGCCCTAATTTGTTACATGCCCTATACCTAAGCCCAAGAGAGTTAACATAACATGTCAAGACCAGGAAATAGTTTTTTCTTAAGAAAAATCATTACCTCATCAAAATAAAAATACAGAACCTTCTAGGACTTACGTTAGCAATCATATCAAGGTAGACAGTAGCAGCTGTTCAAGGCCAAATGCTATCCTGTTTTAAATAACGGCCCCTTCAAAAATGTCCACATCCTAATTCTGAGAACCTATGAATGCTAACTTAGATGGGAAATAAGATTTGTGGCCGTGATTGTATTAAAGGTTTGGGGGCGGGGAGGCTTTCCTGGGTTATCCAGGTGGGCTCAATGTAATCACACGAGGGAGGGAGGAGACCATATGAAAGAATAGGAGATATGACCACAGAAGCAAGAATCTGAAGTCATTTGAGGAAGGGGCCACGAGCCAAGAAATGCAGATGGCCTCTGAAAGCTGGAAAAGACAAAGGAACAGATTTCCCCCTGGAGCCTCCAGAAGGAACACACACCTGCCAATAGCTCAGTTTTAGACTTTTGATCTTCAGAATAGGAAGATAATAAAAATGTGTGTTGTTTTGAGTCGCCAAATTTGTGATCATTTCTTGCAGTACCAATAGGAAACCAACGCAGTGCTCTTTGCCCCTGTCCTTATGTCCATCCCCAGGACCTAAGGCAGTGAGGCATGTTTGCTAAGTGAATTCCTGAAGGAGAAAGAGATTTCCCACCTGGCCCAATCTGAACTCCTGACCAGGAGAGCCTAGCCTTCCTCAGAGAGAGGCAGACAGAGCAGCTCAGGTATATCTGGGGGGGTATGTGTTTTCTTAATTGCCAAGTTGAATGGATGGATGGATGTCAATGTGCCCTTGGAAGATGTGACAAATGCAACCCTAATTTACAGCTGTGATTTACAGCCTTGGGGCTAGAGGGAGGGAACTGGCTATTTTTATGGCACCAACTTAGGCTCTTTTTTCCATTTCCTATAACAGTGCATTAAATATCATGACTTAGTTGAAAAAGATGAGCAGAAATCAGAGTTTACAATCTAATTCCTTTATAAGCATTATTTCATGAGCGACTAGAGCAATGAATGCACATATACATACTGCTAATGCACAAATTCTACTTCCTCTTTCTCCGAGACCATCATGGCCCGTTCTTTAAACTGGGAATATGATATTTTATGTACTAGTATCAACAAGGGGATGTTTTTCCAAATTAATAGATTCAATACAACCCATAGTTTAGCTGCTTAAGAGATGAAGAGCAGAAAATCTAAAAATTGTCTAGGATTCACATATGGCTCATTGTGCGAAAAAGAGTTCCCCTTCCTGTATCCCAGTTTCTCTAGCTAGGTTAAAACCCTACAACTTACAAAGTAAAAACTTCCAAAACAGCTTTTGATCTTGTCAGAACAAATACTACCTAAGCAGAAAGATGATTACAGTCCCAACTAAAAGCAACCATTTAGAACTAAATCTCACATTCATACACGTCTTTTTCCTATAATTTATTGGTAGTCGACATAAAGGCTAAATAAATGATTGGGCAGGTCTAAGGTAGATTCAGTCACTGCCCTCAGTCTAGACTATCGGACTCTGTGATTAGATTGGCAATTCCCGTGGCGCTCCCAGCTTGCCTGGCTTTGCAGCCAACGTTCCCAGGGGGTCCTGAATGGCTTTGGAACCTGAATAAATCACACACTCTAGGGGTCCATCAAAACCGCCAGCAACTCAATTTATTTGTGACCTAAGACAGGATCTTATTGCTTCTCAGATTAACAGTATAAAACGGTTTGCTTTCCTGCCACAGGAGTATTAATGTGATGTACGAGGCAGGGAGATGATTAAATCTTCGGTGCCATCCAAAGATGTAAATTAACCCACAGCACCTCCTTAGCCATCCCTACAGGAGCTAGAGATTTATTATTAACTTGTCACTCTCACACGGACCATCAAAACAAGCAGCACCATGATTAATTATGCCTGTTTATTGAAGGGGACCTACCATTCTAACTTTTGGAGACACAGGGTATTACAAACGCCCCCCGATTTCTTTGCATGAGGGCTTTTAGAGAAGAGGAGAGAGTTGCTGTTCTCTCCAAATCATGTCCATCAAATTATTTGAAAGAAAGATGGCATGTACGTGACTGTATATTATCCTTTTCATTTTAAACGAAGCTGCATTTCATGTTGGCTTCCCTTGCCTTTTCACAGGCATCACGTTGTCTGATTCTGCTCACCTGGACATCTTTCAAAGACTGTGATGAGGACTGGCACTAAAAGAACATCAACTCTGAAATTCACTTTTCGATCCTGTCATCCACAACTCAATTCAACAAATTTAGTGTTTATTAGGTCCCTTCTATGTGGCAAGCATGAATTTATTTATTCCTTTTTTCATCCAATATTTATTTAGTGTCTTTTATGTGCCAGGAATGGTACTAGGTATACATTCACTGTTCAAAACAGCATACAGTCCTTGCCCTGTGGCGTTTGGAGCCTTGTTACCTGCCTTCCCATATTTTGAACAGGGGAGAAGGGAGGGACAACGAGAGCCTGGGGAAAAGGAGAAGAAAGGAGAGCGTATTCCTTCTAAGATAAGTTTGCACAAAAGAGACACTAAATTGAGTCAGGATGAAGAAGACATCTGCGTTCCCTCCTCCTGGTCGAGCATGAGTCTGCAGCACTGACACAATGGCATCTCACCTGTTTTGTCCTCCCTGTCACAAATTACCTGGTTTGCTGAATGATCACTGAAGCACAGGAAGTCTTTAAATAAAGTTTTAGGCATAGCTGCATTGCCTATGATGTGCCACTAGAAAAACATCACCTTTACCAGTTTAAATTATAGAATAACTACCTGATTTACTTTTTAAGAAATAAGTTCCTAATTATATCCTTGTCTCCCTTTTTTAATTATGGAAATTGACAAAAATACAAAAAAAAATGAGATAATAAAATAATGAACTTCCATGTACAAACCACCTAAGCTCTAGGAATTATCAACATTTTGTTATTCTTATTTTTATCTATCACATTTCTCTCTCCATCTTTTTCTTGGTATTTTCAATAACTTCCCACTGTCATCCCATTTCACCTCCAAATACATAAAATTTTATCTGAAAAAATTGACTTTTTAAAAAACATATCCTTGTAATAATTAACAAAATAACAATAATTCCTTAATATCTTCTGATACCTAGCCCGTTTCCAAATATCCCCGATTGTCTAAAAAAAAAAATCATTTTGGATTGAAACAGGATCCAAATAAAGTCTATACATTGGATTTGATTGGTGTGTCTTTTATTTACATTTTTTCTCCCCATGTCCTTTTGAATATCACTAAAATGATATTCAATATTTGATTTTTATCTAGAATAAATAAATCCATTAACATATGTTCCTAAGATATCTAATTATGTAATATTTTCAAGAATAGAGTTACCATAAGATTTATAATTCTAACAAAAAAATTCTTAAATTAAAAGGGATGCTATTAATAATTATACTGGTGTGAACTAAACAGTCACCATTCCAGTAGAGATATTAGATGTTAAAAATGAGGATCAGTCCTAACCGGGATGGCTCAGTAGATAGAGCGTTAGCTTGTGGACTGAAGGGTCCCAGATTCTGGTCAAGGGCATGTACCTGGGTTGCGCGCACATCCCCTGTAGATGTGTGCAGGAGGCAGCTAGTCGATGTTTCTTTCTCATCAATGTTTCCAACTCTCTGTCCCTCTCTCTTCCTCTCTGCAAAAAAGCAATAAAATATATTTTTTTAAATGAGAATCAAGTTCCTGGTTCCTACCTGGGTGCAGAGAGCTGGAAAAGAACCAAAAAGAATGTCACTGCCACCCTTACAAATAAAAAATAAAATAAAAATAAAAAGTGGAACATTCTGCAAGTTAATAACTTTTCCTGGATTCATCAAAAGTTAAAGATGAGAAAAAGGCCAACTAAACGAAAATCTGAGGAGAAACCATGCCTATGGGAGACATGGGGTACAAGCATTTGTTTACTTGGGGCAGTGATCACCAATAAGAAGCATTCACCTAAAATGCTTAACAAATTGGTAGAGGTTGAGTAAGGGCTGGTGACAGTCTAGAACCCTAGAGGCTTCAGATATAAGGAGAGTCACAACATGCATAGGCTTTGCTCTCTACAGATTCCAATGAGCACTCACCACAAATGGTGGCAGCAGTCCTGAGAAAGCACCCCTCATGGCACAGGCTTAGGAGAGGGAACGAGCAGCTGCTGCAGAAAGGCCAGGGAACACTTCCCAGGTTCTTCTCCTCTATAAAAAAATCAATCAATCAATCAATCAATCAGTCAATCATGGGATGTGGTGGAAAAAAGTAATGCCCAAGAGACAAAATAATCAACAGAACCAGACTCATATAAAGCACAGATGTTAGAGTTATCAGCTAGGGAATTTAAAATAACTATTAAAAATATGTCAAAGTCTCTTATGTAAAAACTGGACATCACTCATTGTCAGATTAATAATTTCAGCAGAGATATGAAAACCGTAAGAAAAAAATTAAATGAAGATGCTACACATGATAACAGTAATAAAAATCAAGATTATCATTGACAGCCTCATCAGCAAACTTAACAGAGCCAAGGAAAGAATCAGTGACCTTGAAATATGCCAACTGAAAGACCAAAAAATAGAAGAGAAAGTAAAAAATAAAAACAGAACTATAAGACAAAATCAAGTGACCTAACAAATGTGCGATTAGATTCCAGAAGGAAAACAAAAGACAGAGAATGGGGTAGAATAACTATTTGAAGATATAATGTTTAAGAATTCCAAAATTAATGGCATACATCAAACTAAAGATCCAAATCGCCAATAAAGATAAATACCCAAGCCAGAGATAGACATATCATATTCAACTTTTGAACACAAAAAACAAAGAGAAAATCTTAAAGGCAGCCAAAGAGGTTGAAGAAGGGGACATATTCCTAGAAAAATAAATATAAGCATTATAACAGCCATCTTGTTATAAACCATACAAGCTAGAAGACAAGAGTGTGAAATTTTTAATCATTTATGTTTTTATTAAAATCATACTAAAACAAGACAGTCATTTATGTAACAACAAAAAACTTGTAACAAAAAATACTTATTTAATATTTGATGCATTAAAGTGAGGCACAGTACAATATAGGTTGTTGTCATTGTTCTTTGTTAATGTAACAGGGCAAAAAAAATTACATAAAAGAAATAACTTGAAGAGGTGAATTTTTTTTCTCAGACACCACATAACTGTCAATATACAAAATAGAATAGTATAAACAGGCAAACTTAGAAATATATGAAAGCTCAATAAATTTTCTAAATGTCAGTATAACATTAAATCAATAGCATTTTCATAATTCAGTAATAAGCAATTAGATAAAACTTGTTTAAATAGCATGAAAACTACAAAGTCTCTAGGAACAGTTCTTAAAAATATAGAAAAAAATTATGAAAATATTTCAACATATAGCTAAAGACTTGATTGATTGATAGCTTGATCTTAGAGAAAGAAAGGGAGAAAGAGATCAATTGGTTGCTTCCCACACGTACTCCAACCAAAGACAGAACCCACAATCTGGGTATGTGCCCTAACTGGGAATTCAATCTACCACCTTTCACTGTGTGGGACCACACTCCAACCGACTGAACCAGGTATAACTAAAGACTTTTTAATGGAAAGATATACACTCTGATCACCCAGGAAATTCCAAGGGATTTAAATTTTATATCAGGAGCTGGAGTCAACAACCAAATATTAGAATAAAAGATGCTCATAGTGTTCTTGTCACTTACGAAAATTACAATGGTTTCAGGAGCACTACTCCAGGAACCAGGGACAGAGACCAAAATATATATTTTTGCTATTATTTCACAATATCCTCCTATCAAAAATGGACAGATCCAGAAGGAGAAAATCAGTAGACATAATTGGATTCAACAGCACCATCAATCAAGTGGATGTAATGACCATCTATAGACTGTTTTATCCAACAGCGAATTCTTCTCAAGCTCACATGGAACTTTCACCAAGATAGATCACATTGTGGGTCATAAAACACATCCTAATAAATGTAAAAGAACAGATACACAATCTCTTCTCTCGGACCACATGGGATTAAACTATAAGTCAATAACAGAAAAGTAACTGGGACATCCCAAAATACATGGAAGTTAAACAACACACTTCTAAACAATATATGAGTTGAAGAAGAAATATCAAAAGAAGCTTTAAAATATTTTAAATTAAATGAAAATAAAACATAAAAATTTGTAGGATGCAGTGAAACTTGTGCTTTTAGAGGGAACTCCACCACTGGGAATGCATTATTTTAGAAAACATGAAAAGAGCTAAAATCATATCAATAAAACTAAAGAGAAACATGCTTACCTTCACAAATTTTAAAAATAAATAAATTAAGCATGTTTTTAAAAAGCCTCAAAAATAGGCCCTGGCTTCAATTCCTGATCAGGGCACATACCTAGGTTGCAGGTTTGATCCATGTTTGGGTGCACACGGTAGGCAACCAATAGATGTTTCTCTCTCTCTAAAAATTGGTGAAAGCATGTCCTCAAATGAGGATTAATGATAATAATAATAATAGTAAAGCCTCAAAGTAGTAATTAATATCTCATTAATAAAAATAATAAGTGAATGGCTGATGTTATGGGAAAACACAAGAGGAGCAGTTCTCAAAATGTGGTCTATGTACCCAAGCCAAGACATTATTTATTTCCCCTTTTCTCTATGTGAAAAGTCACACTGATGATGCAAAAGCAGTAATAGGCAAAAATTACTGGTGCCTTAGCCCAAACAAAGATAGTGGCACCAAACTGGACTAGTAGTCATTATATTCTTCATCATACATATTCATATTGGGGTAAAGGGCTAGCCATTTCTACTTAAGAATATCATTTATACAGTAGTAAAAATGATGACTTCGATTAAGTAGAGTCACTTGGTACATGTCTTTAATATTCTAAGTCAGTGGTCGGCAAACTCAATAGTCAATAGAGCCAAATATCAACAGTACAATGATTGACATTTCTTTTGAGAGCCGAATGTTTTAAACTTAAACTTCTTCTAACGCCACTTCTTCAAAACAGACTCACCCAGACTGTGGTATTTTGCGGAAGAGCCACACTCAAGGGGCCAAAGAGCCGCACGTGGCTTGTGAGCCGCAGTGTGCCAACCACAGTTCTAAGTAAAGAAATGGGAAGTACAGGGAATGCACTTCTGCTGCATACCGTCGTCGGATGTGCGACTGAGTGGCAAACAAGTAGTACATTTTTCATGGAATAGCATTTTTACTTTAAAGAACAACTGGCAGCCAAACCTTAGTTATTCAGACAAGCATATTTGACATTTTCTCAAACATTAATAAAGTGAGCTGTCACTTCACAGAAAACAACCTTCAGTATTCGTTGCCGTGATAGAAGTCAAGCATTCAAGTGAAAATTAGAATTTTAGAAAATTTTAGTTCAACACCCTAGGCTTCACAGCTTCTCAATGCTTAGATTTTTCTGATGAGATCAAAAATGATGTTTAAAAATGTGATTTCTTGCCATAACTGGTTTGGCTCAGTGGATAGTGTCGGCCTGCGGACTGAAGGGCCTCAGGTTTGATTCCAGTCAAGGGCATGTACCTTGGTTGCAGACACAACCAGTAGAAGTTGTGCAGAAGGCAGCTGATTGATGTTTCTCTTTTGTTGATGTTTCTAACTCTATCCCTCTTTCTTCCTCTCTGTAAAAAAAATCAATAAAAATTTAAAAATAATGTGATTTCTTTTTTGATACCATATAATCAAATGTGTCAACATTTGCAAGATTTGTATAACTCAACTGGTATTTTCCAAATAACAAATTCATGGTGCTGCAAAACTACATGTGCATGACTAGTCAACTCAAAGTGCAAGAGAGAAAATGGATGTTAGTGTAACAGAGTACAAAACATTCATTGACGTAGATTAAGATTCGTCATTGCACCGACTTTTAAGAAACTATCACTTGTCAAGTTTTGGAGTAGCATCAAAGAATACCCATAATTACCTGAAAAGATTATTGAAATATTCCTCCTTTTTCCAACTACATATCTATGTGAGGCCAGGTTTTCTTAAGCACTTCAATCAAAACAATATACTGCAGCAGGTTAAATGTAAAAACAGATCTGATGATCTGGCTGTTTTCCCTTACAAAGACAAGATTTATAAAAATGTAAACAATGCCATGCCTCACAGTAGTTTGTTTTGAAAGTTATTTTTTTAATATATTTTTATTGATTTCAGAGAGAGGGAGGGAGAGAAAAGATAGAAACATCAATGATAAGAGAGAATAATTAATTGGCTGCCTCCTGTACACACCGCACTAGGGATGGAGCATGTGCCCTGGGCATGTGCCCTGACCGGTAATCAAACCACAACCTCCTATTTCATAGTTTGACAATCAACCACTGAGTCACACCAGCGGGGCTGAAAGTTATTTCTTCATTAAAAAATTGCCCTGGCCAGGTGGCTCAATGGGTTGGAGCATCATCTCATACACTAAAAAGGTTGCTATTGGATTCTCCATTAGGGTACATATATAGTTTGTAGGTTCAACCCCCAAGTTGGGGCTCATCTGGGAGGCAATCAATTGAGGTTCCTCTCAAATCAATGTCTCTCTCCCTTCCTCTCATAAATAAATTTTTTAAATATTTTAAAAATTGAAACAGAACTAAAAATGTCCTATTTTCTACTTTCAACTCAGAAACTAAAAATACACTAAATGTCAGTGTTGCCCTTTAAAAAAAAAAAATCAATGGAAAGTATTTAACCATGGAAAATAAAATTTTTAGTTAAATTTATAATCAACATTTTCATTTCTAAAAATATGAGGGATTTACTGTTTTCATATACCCACATCAAAGCATTGTAACTAATTTTAAAACTGTTCAATTAATGATCTCATCTGCAATTAAAGAATAAAGTTTAGCAGAAACCTGTTTGGCTCAGTGGACAGAGCATCAGCCTGTGGACTGAAGGGTCCCAGGTTGAATTCCTGTCAAGGGCATGTACCTTGGTTGGGGGCACATCCCCAGTAGGGGGTGTGCAAGAGGCAGCTGATTGATATTTCTCTCTCATCGATGTTTCTCTCTATTCCTCTCTCTTCCTCTCTGTAAAAAATCAATTTAAAAATACATTTAAAAAAAAGAATAAGGTTTAAATAGTTTTAAAGACCTGGTATTCTCATAAAATAAAATAAAAACACCAAGAAACATGTTTTTTCAGCACT